GCGGCGCACGGAGCGCTCTGCGGGATGCCGTTGCTGCGGCGTCGTTCGGCGTTTTATTAGAGGAACTCTTTCAAGGCAAATAGCTGCTTTGATTTATCCGCGAATGACCTCTTTTTTTGGTATGAAGGCCTAATAGAATTACCAAAACATAACCCACTCTTCTGTAAGCTGGATTTTGGATAACGTTTTATCTTGCGTAACAAGTTGAAGTGAGGTGTCCCAAATATTTTTAGCACCATTATTGCCTTGGTAATGTCTGGTTCTTAATTGCTTCTTCTGTTTCTGACCGCCGAGAGTGTTGACTTTGTACTTGGTGCCAACGAAACACCTCAGTGGGAAGCTCGCCGTGTAGGAGTTATTTTTTGGCATATATATCTCTCTCAACTGATTCAAAAGAAGCCGATTTTTATGTCATATGGGCTTTATACTGCCGTGACTGCAGGAGTTCACCGAACGGAGGTGTGTCAGCAGCTTTGGCACAGTGCACGGGCTACTGCTCCTTCACTCCAGTATCTGTGGATTTTTTTCCCTGTACTTTAAAGGTGGTTGAGTAAAAGGCACAAGCATAATTTATAACTTTATGCTACTTAAGTATTTCGTGAAGATTTTTCTATGTTCTTCCTGACCACCAGACTGTGTGGCTGTAGGGCTTTTAAATACCGGCACTCAAGTCTGCGTTTTGTGTTCCACTCTGTACAGGGTTCTGTTCCGCGGGTCATGTACTCCTCGGTTGGTTTATCATCCCAATAGCCTTTGTTGTGATGATATGTAAGGAAATGTATTCATCTTATTTTAATGCTTTAAGAGTTTAATTTTAGATGTGCAGCATGGATTTCACTATGCTTACTCTAACTAGAATTACACACACAGCAAAATTCTAAAGATAGGTAGAGGCGTTCAGAATCTGTACAAAAAGCTGATGTCATGGGTAATATGTCAGCGTTGGTGGATAAGGGAAGAGCAACTGACATAATGTACCTGGACTTGTGCAAAGCATTTGACACAGTCCTGCACATGAAGGACAGAGACACAGATTTGACAGATGGACCACTCGGTGGATAAGTAATCGGCTGGATGGCCATGCTCAAAGAGTTACGGTCAACAGCTCAATGTCCAAGTAGCACCCAGTGACGAGCAGCATCCATCAGGGGTCAGTACTGGGACTAGTGCTGTTTAACATCTTTGTTGTCAATGTGGACAGTGGGATGGAGTGCACCCTCAGTAAGTGTGCGGATGACACCAAGCTGTGTGGAGCAGTCAGCACACTGGAGGGAAGCGATGCCATCCAGAGGGACCTGG